ATTCTCAGTTTGGCACAGCATTTGGCCCAGGTTTGTTGCCTGATGCCTTCGTAGGCGTGCCATGCTTTGGCAGAATCGCGAAGGTGGTTGATGGCCACCCACCATTTCTGCTGGTTTGTCCAGGCACGGTAGTTTCTGAGAGAGCTATGGATCTACAGGAAGACAGCATACTGGAAACCTTGGAACTACGGTAGTTGCCATGCAGCTGGTGATGGTAACCTGGTTGGGCAGGATTGATAAGTTCCCATGAGGAAACGAGCTAGCTGTTTTGCCAACAAAGATGTTGCCTGCATGATGTCTGTGCGGGGGTTGAGCGAGGAACCCTCCAGAGGCAGAGCTGTGGAAAATACGGAGGCCCGGCATTTACAGTGGCCGTACAGGACCTGCAGTTAGAAGACCCCAAGCAGCCCAGTTGTTGTGACAGGAACGTGGGGGCATGGATGATCGTCAGGTAAACCACCTGTGGAGCTCTTGATGGAGACCCAGAAATATGTGGTCATCTGTCACGATTATCTCTGGAGTGCTTGCAACATTGGACCGGATCGGGAGAGAGTGAGAAGGGCACAGCAGACCATGATAGGATGACCAACAAGCTTTGTAAGGACCAAATTGAATACAAAATAAAGAAGTGTTAATGAAACTGAGTAATACAAACAAAACCTTATTTACATTAACAAGTCTTAGTTCGTACCCAGCACTGAAACTAGCTGAACAGGGCATGTTAGTCTGGCTTAAATAAGTCTCTTCAAATCAGTATGGCCCCTATGGGCCTTGCGGTAATAGAATGTTTTTACAGCTCAATCATCGTTTGTCGCGGCAGACCCAATGTTCCCGTCGCGCCAATCTCTCGAAAAGACTGTCGTCGACGTCCTCAGCAAGCGCCAAAGTTCATCGTCAGTTGCCTTCGTTCAGCCTGCAGCTAGTCCTCGTCACGTTTGTCCCCAGTAGTCTTTACCATCCTCGCTCAGACAAGGTTAGGCCTAGCAAGGCCTATGTCCCTTGCTTCAAGACTCCACAGGTGACAGACGCCTCCGTGCCTGAACTGTGGTCTGCAGCCGTCCTAACTGCATTGCCGTGGGGCGACAAGTCCGGGCAGCCTCGCTGAGAGCCTTCCAAGGTCGATGGCCACTCCTCCGGCCTTGTGTGTCGCCGCCCCCAGAACCGAGTACCAGCCACTCTCGCCGTGAGTGCGACGCTTGCTTCTTCCTCGGTCTTCTCCGTCCGGCGCCCTAGAGAACAGTGACTCGGTCATGTTTTGACGTTCACCATCACAGCTCGGGTCGCATGCCACGAGCCCCAATCTAGCCAATCCTCTGCGTCTACAAGGCTAGTGCGCATGCCCTCAAGTGACTTTTTTTTCTTCTCGTGCACCATCGCCGCGCTTCCACATTCGGCATGCGCCTTATGCCTCTCTTTTGCTCATCACATCATCAGAGTGATAAGAATGGTGGCGATGTCCTGTATCATGGAAAAGTCGTGAACTTGAGAAATCGGAGTGCCAATACAAGGCTGCCGAAGTTGCCTGAATGCCTTTCCCGGAGAGTGCTTGCAGCGCTGGCAGGTTAGGGGGTGCTGAGAAGGCCTGGAGGCCGTTCCCAAACTGGACTTTCCTGTGGCGGCAAGCTTGTGGATTCCCTGCTTCAAGTGTGGATGACGGGGTTGAATGGCAGCTCCATGAGGCGGCATTTCTGCCTTAAGCATTTTCAACGAGTTGTGGGGGTGCTGACACCCCCCCTGTAAAGCTGTCTGCGCCGCGTGGCGCAGTGTGGGGTCTCTCGGCGAGGCGAACGAGCGCCTCGCCACGCCACGCTCTTAGAGTGAACGGACACAGTTGACGCGGTCGGTACAAAGCACACAACATACATACATTTATTAGCTAATTTAGACGACGATATCGTCCACCGAATGATACACCAATTTCAATTCATACGCTACCATACAAACAACATAACGCAGTGACACACTAAACACACAATAACATGATAAACACACACTAACACACCCAACACACTAACACATACCAAAGGCGGCGTCGCCAACGCCTGACTTTCCACGTGGGACCCCGGCGCGAAGCCCGCGGTGCAGAGCACCGGGAGCCCACGCTACAGACAACCGTTCGCGGCAGCCGCCACGCGCAGAAGAGACTCGCTCAACGCTCACCCACCACCTAGGCCTGCCTTCCGCCAGGAGCCACCGCCGGCGCTACCACTCTACCAACAGTGGTACTCAAAGCGAACACAACGCCATTTATCGCCCGGCGGTGGTCACCACCGAAATAAAGCCTTGGGGCGAGACACGTGCGCCACGCGGCGCAGACAACTTTACAGGGGGAGTGTCAGCACCCCCACCTTTTTCCAACCTTAAATCAAACCATATCCCGAAATCAGAAATTAGCTACACAAGCTTTAACAAAAAAAATGATATCGCACGACCATAATGTCCTTGCACCACGACACCGCCGCTGGTCGACACTGCTGCACTGTCCGGCTAGACTTCACCTCAGTACTGGCCCCGCAACAGCAACGTTGCCGTCGGCGCGATGAACCGTCGCTAGCGCCGACACGTATTCCAGTTGCGACCAGCACTTGCGAAGGTGCCGGACTGCAGGCAGTTGCGCAGGTCCCAGGCATCTCCCGCGCCCGACATTACGACCGCATTCCTGGCCAGCGATGCTGACAATGTGCAGGACAGCCGGCCGTGCATGACATCCCTCCCGCTGAATACATCAATAACAACAACAAAAAAACTTGAAAGAAAACAATCGAGCAGGTCCTCGGGAAGGGAGCTTGGAGCTTTTCGTCCACGTGGTACGTTGGTCAGTACTGCTAGCTAATACATCGGTGGCGGCCAAAAATAAAACAATCACTTTGCCTAACTCGTGCTCACAAGAAAAAAAAAGTGAGGGAAGCAGAGCGCAACACCTCAACGCCACGATCCACCTAGTTGTGCCACGTGCGACAGGCGGCTGCGCAGAGCCTTAGACCTAATGAGTCGCTCGGCAACAACCGGCATCCACCCAGCACCCAGCCTAGGCGCAGAAGAGGCAGCCGTGAGGAGACGTCCACTCTGTGAGGTGGCCCTATCGCTCGCCGCACACAGCAGCTTACCGAGCGATCGGCGTCCACCGCCCCGGGCGGTGTCACGACGCCTCGACGTCGAGCCACAATACCAGACAGCAACGACGCCCGGCTCCCTGAGCCAAAAGATATAGAAGAAGCTATTTACAGAAAATCGGACCACCCACGAGGCTTCCGTACTCACTCGCTTCGGGCCTGGCCTACAAACCACGTGCTCTAGGCCTTGCTCACCCCAGGATGCGGACCACATGGCTCTCGTCCTAATTCAACAACGTTTTTGAAAACTAACAACAACAAAAAATAACAACACTTGCGAGCAAAAAAAATAAATAGAAAGTCAACCTGCCGACAAATTCAAACACGTTACAAAACCCATCTCTTCGCTTCTCAACAAAGCACGCCACCGACGCTAGCAAAGAAGTCCCCCCTAGGTCTACTCTACTCCGGCTCTAACAAAATCCCTGTATTGAACCGCAAAAACTGTCGTCCGATACTCCAAGAGCCCCACGTTGGGCGCCAGTGTGGAGTCTCTCGGCGAGGCGAACGAGCGCCTCGCCACGCCACGCTCTTGGAGTGAACGGACACAGTTGACGCGGTCGGTACAAAGCACACAACATACATACATTTATTAACTAATTTAGACGACGATATCGTCCACCGAATGATACACCAATTTCAATTCATACGCTACCATACAAACAACATAACGCAGTGACACACTAAACACACAATAACATGATAAACACACACTAACACACCCAACACACTAACACATACCAAAGGCGGCGTCGCCAACGCCTGACTTTCCACGTGGGACCCCGGCGCGAAGCCCGCGGTGCAGAGCACCGGGAGCTCACGCTACAGACAACCGTTCGCAGCAGCCGCCACGCGCAGAAGAGACTCGCTCAATGCTCGCCCACCACCTAGGCCTGCCTTCTGCCAGGGGCCACCGCCGGCGCTACTACTCTAGCAACAGTGGTACTCAAAGCGAACACAACGCCATCTATCGCCCGGCGGTGGTAACCACCGAAATAAAGCCTTGGGGCGAGACACGTGCGCCACGCGGCGCAGACAACTTTACAGGGGGGGTGTCAGCACCCCCACAGAGTGTGCCATTGTCATGTACTAGGAACAACCCAACACCTGTTCACGAGGCCGGCTGTTCTATTCTGCTTCGTTCTTCTCTGCCCTGTGCTAGCTGAGCTCGTTTCAGTAGCTGAGTGTCGCTCTCGTTTTCTCACACATATTTATCAAAAATACACATTATTTTGTACAAATGAAACCACCTTATCACAGTGACAAAGTTGAATTGACATACAATATGTACAAAAGCATGTGAAATATTGTCACGGGGTGATGACTGTAGGTCCAAGATTAAACTGTTTATTAGGCCAAACTTGTAGCAGTTGAAACGAAGGTTAGATTGAGCCATACACACTGGCACTGATAGCGGCGAACAGAGTGGCGGCCGTCGATCAACTGGCAAGTGGTGAAGCATGTCATCATGCATACATGCATTGTCGAATATTCCAGCGCTATCGCAAGCGGCCACTTAGGTTCCAAAATAACCTGTAATCTTTGTGTTGTGCGTGTGATCTTAACAAAATGATCTACTACAACCCTGAAGCTTTTCAGACACTGCAAGTGCCGTTTGCGCTGAGAATTACTTACAGTGAAACGGGGCAATAACAAAATTTGAGGAAGGAATGTGGCATTGCCCCCCTCGGAAAAAGGCATCGTCCCGATGCTTTAACAAAAGATGAAAATAAAAAAACAATAAGCACACGCAAGCAAATACAATAATAGAAAAATATACAGTCCTCATGTTTGCTAACATGCATAATACGGCTTGAGGCACACGACATGAACGACTTCAGGTCATGCACGGCGCTGTTGAGAGTTCGTCATGCCATCAAGGACTACCTTAGTCGAGTGGGCCGAGACATCACAGCATGAATCTCCTCATATTCCTCGGCATCCCCCTCGGTGAAGCCCCACTTCTTCGAGACGTGCACCTTCTGACGACTCGGGAACTTGAACTTGGCACGTCGCAGAGCTTCGATCACATTCTCCTTATGTAGCTCCTTGGCACGCATCGACATGATCTCCTGTCCAATGTGCACCCGGGCAACAACGCCCTGGGGTTTGCCAAAGGCACCACGCATCCCTGTCTGGAGCCTATCAGCACCAGCGCACGACAACATTTTATTGATTCGGATGACGTGGAAGGGGTGAAGTCTCATTCGGAGGTGGAAAGCGTCTTTGCCGCAGGTCTCGACGAGGTACTTGTTGGCGCAGATGGGGCCAGCCTCCAGCGCCTCGGATGACATTTGCTCGAACTCCTTGGAGATGAGGTGCACACAGAGCGGGAACTCGTCCACTCGCGCCTTCTCGCGCCAAGTCCAAGATACGGATCTTCGGGTCGGGTACACCATGACAGAACCGCGACTTGGGATAAGGCTTGTTCTTGCAGTAGTGGTAACATCTTGCGGGTCGGCGACCCATCTTGCTGGCTGAAGTGCCGAGCAAGAGGCGAAAAGGTTTGGTTTCATCAAGCCTGGTTTCATCAAGTTACTGCGGTAAATTTTGTTCAGCCGCCTTCCTAGTTTCACTTCATAATTGGTATCAAAAAGCTTCTATATTACTTTTGCGGGCCCTTCCCAATGAACCTCAAGCTTGTTCCTTTTGGACGGCCACAGCAGCATTACCTGACTACCTACTTCAAAGGTGCGTTTCTTCACCGATTTGTAGTAGTACTCCTTCGAAAACACTTGTGCAGCCTTCATGTGCCTTTCCACAAGATCTTTCGTTTTTCCAAGCCTCTGAAAGAGGTCTAGAACATACGCAACTACACCAGGGTCCTCACCGAATCTCTCCCAGGACCCGCGCAGCATTCACAATGGCAAGCTCCTGCCATACACAAGCTCTGCAGGGCTAAAACCAGTGCTCTCATGAGGAGCTGATCTCAAAGCGAACATAGCAGGAGGAATACACGCTTCCCAGTCGCATTTGTGCTCGTAGCAAAGAGCTCTCAGTATCGGTTTCAGAACGGAATGCATACGCTCTAACGGATTAGATTGCGGGTGATGGATCGAGCTGTGCACTACTTTTATTCCGCATTTATTCAAAAAGATAGAGGTAAGGCAGCTGGTGAAGACACTACCATTGTTGCATTGGATTTCAGAAGGAAATCTGATGCGTGCAAATATAGATAGCAGTGCATCCACAACATGAGGGGAATTGTGCTCCTTGAGTGGTATCGCTTCCGAAAATTTTGTGACTACACAGAGGGTTGTCAGGATGTACCGACAACCTTGCTTCAACTCTGGCAATGGCCCGATGATATCAGTTACTAGGCGCCGAAAAAGTTCTGTGATAATTGGCACAAGCTTCATGGGTGCCTTCCAGTGGATTTCTCCGCTCTCTCACAAGTGTCGCATGAGCATACAAAGTCTTCGATATCCTTCCAGCATTTCGGCCAATAAAACCCCAGGGAAACTGTAGCCTTGGTGTTCTTTATGCCGAGATGTCCTGCCCAAGCATTTTCATGCGCCAGTTCTAATAGTTGGCGACAATACTTTTGTGGCACCAAGAGCTTCTCATACTTGCGACCTTGCGCATTTGTGTAGCTCCGATACAGGAGCCCTGCTTTCTCAAAAAAGGAAAAATTCTTTTTCTTTTTTCCCAAGTTTCCACTTGCCATTAGCACTTTAATCGAAAGGTCCTCACGCTGCTTTCGAATGAGCGTTTCTCCATCAATCCTCGACAGCTCACTCCAACTTTCCGCTACAGGCGAAAGCGTTGCACCCCTCTCGCTCTGACTCAATGACGCCATGTCGTCTCCTCCCTCGACAAAGACCGCGCCAGTCGCTTCGGCGATGGGCCGCTCGAGTAACTGCTCAAATGACTCACACGGAGAATTTCCTGTCTGGGGTTCCGTCGACTCGCCGCCAAGGTCACGCAGATCAGCACGCTTTGCAGGTGGTGTTTGACCACATTGAATAAGATCAAGTTCCTGCGAAAGCTTCTGCGCTTGCGATCGCGTGAGGGCCATGTACGCTAAGTTGGAGAACGATTTGCCCTGCTCTTTGAGAAGCTGCTCTGAGTTATTCGAAAAAAGGAAAACGACCGGGAAGCGCTGCAGACACATGCGCTTACCGAATGGGCCTTCAATGACAACCGTGGCGATTGGTAAGCAAGCACTCTGCTTCTCGGCGACTTGCCTGATCCACGTGCATTCTCCTGTAAAATCATCCGGAGACACCAACGAAGGATGGACAACGTCCATGGTTGCCGCTGAGTTTCGAAGTGCTCGACACGTTTTCCCATTCACACTAATTTCTTGGAGATTAAGTGTTAATTTGTATTTTATGTTTTTATTTTCTTCTGGCCAAATATCGAGAGCTATTTTTGCTTTGTTTAACACTTTTTGTGCTGTGTTTCGTCTACCGGCGAAGGTAGTTGTGAACTTGAACATTGGTGCTTATGCGTGGAAAGACAGACGAAGGACACCTTGCGCCTTCGCTTGGGCAGCCGTCGGTGGTCTGTGTGTGCATGCTTATATGCGTGTGTACATGCGTGGCGCTTCTGTGTTTCCCCGGGGAGAGTGCGCATCATGGCTTCATCTCATCGACGTGTACACTGTAGGTGCTCAGGGCCCTGACCTGCTGACGTCAGACAGTCTGGCTGTGCCCTGCTCTCGGCCGTCGCCTAGAAGCCCTGCTGCCCCCTTCCACCCTGGCTTCTGTGCGAGGCCAGCTGACAGCAGCTACACTAAAACCTCGTTATAATGTAACGAGATATAGTGAAATAATGATTATAACGAAGTGAATGAAATTTCCATTGAAAACTCTATTGAAAACCATGCATTTTAAACCTTGTTGTAACTGAAATAAAATTGACCGGGAAATGGGTATAATGAACTAATGTAGTCTATCAAATTGCCTATAAAAAACTTACCGTAGTGTGTTAAGTATATTGTTTTCTGCGTAGTTTGGCGCTCGTTCGGCGTGGCTCTTTCAAAACTGCGGCGCCGGCCTTACAGCCACGCCCCGCGCAGCCGAGAGAGCCGTCCTTCTCACACTGCCAGCGGAGAGGATTGAGGAAGCGCTATAAGGTTGGCCAATGCAAGCAGCAGAGCAGGCCGCAATAGGGCTTGCCAGCAAAGCTGTAGTAATGTGCCCAGCTCACAGAATGCTAGCTTCTCATATTGCCCTTTGCTGGAGATCATTATCCCCAGCAAAGTCTTCAGTGCAAAGACTGCTATTAGCACCTTTGCAGTTGAAGAAACTGAAAGATTTGCAGTGTTACAGTGTGACGAGAACAAAAAAAAAACAGCTAAGGCGCACATATAGTATGATGGGACACAGCACTGACTACCAACTGAAGTGTATTTATTCAAGAAACGGTGTTTATATGGGCCGAGCCAGACTTGCGCATCTGTGCACAGTTGACCGCGATGTACATACTTGCCAAAATTACAAACTTAAAAAAAGATTAGAAATGGTTCTCACATCTCGCATGTTTTGCTGCTCATCCAAAGTCCAGAAGTGCTATTTCACTCTCATGGAGGGTCATTATTGACTGGCTAATGCACTTGCCTTCGTTCTTTTTAAAGTAGAAAGGTTCCATTATTTTTCTGGGTAGGGTGTCCTGGTGTTTTCACACTACAGTAGCTTCGTTAAACAGGGGATGACGTGCGTTGGGGGACAACGCATGTCATCCCCTGTTGTCCGCCACACGTTGGACACTCCGGAATTTTTTCTGTGTGGCGCTACCTAAATCTCGATGGTTGTAGAATACGGCCTACCCGAAAAAAAATATGTCCACCCCGAGGTGCAAACAACTTACAGGGAGTGATAGCACCCCCCTCAAGCTTGACTACGATGGATGTGAACTTGGTTTCACTTACTGAACAGCTCAGGCACAGGGTGGCAAAGGCACAGTAAGTGAAAGCCATGTGAGAGAAAGGCTACTTTATAGCAGCATGCCAATTATTCAACTTGAGTGTTGCCGATGGGAAACAAGGCATCTCCTTAGAGACAGTGTGCAAAGAGTAAATGACTGGCTGCCGCCACACTGACCGTGCATGCTTTTCTGGATGGGTGTTCCAGTGACACACCACCGGTTGACTGCCGAAAGCTTGAGGGCCATCTGAGCTGCCTTAGTGGCCGTTCCTTCGACCATCTGGGCCTCGTCCAGACACACGCGCCACCAGAGCAACGCTGTTAGTGGGCTGGGCGTTGGCAGGAACTTGCGGGGATTCCGAAACGACCGGCTCTCGGCACCTGAGGTTCACAGACAAGGCCAGCTAACACGACACTGGACAGAAAAAGAAAGCCAGGCCTGCGCAGAAGGCGCGGCATAGTCACAGCGAAAGCTAGAAGAGCGGCCTTTCAAAGCCTTTTCTAACCACTCATTGGGTAACTGCTGTAAGCACACTTTCTGGGTACCCACTAGGACAATAATAATCATAATTTATGTGTAGTAGTTCGGCATTCGCTATATTATCTTTCATCATTCTTTTGAGAAGCGTAGTATCCCCTAAACACTTGCACGGAATTTTGTGCCAATTGTTCATGCAGTGGCTGATGACGATGAGGAATTATGTCTAAAGTGGGTATGTGCCAGAGTTAATAGGTGATCAAGAACAAGCTTTTGTAATGGGTTGAAAGATTGGACGACCCACTCGTTACGCTATTCACATTGTGTGACACCTGGTTGTTCCTTTGCTGTTACAAAACACTTTATTACTCATATTAGCAATATTCTTTGCCCGAAATCAAGACAGCTTAAGGCAAGTTTGCGAACAAGTCCCAAGCAACGTCATGGCTTAGTGGTAGAATACTGGTCTGGCATGCAGAGACCCAGGTTCGAGCTTCACTGTGGCCTTGGCGTTGTTCATTTACCCAGGTTTTTTTTTTTTTTTATTTCGTGCAATAGTGGTTACAGACACCGGTGGTGGTGGGGGACAATTAGCACGCTGCGTGTGACCCGAGTTGTAATCTCATAACAGCTTTCACTATAAAAAATGGCCTGCCCTCACATTTGACATCATGACTACTGTTCACCTTTACTCTGCTAACTGAAGCCCAATCAATAGTCTGATATTCTTATTCAATACAAAGCTAAGTGTATACATGTTGGACAGTTATAGATACATATATTTCCTCAAGCCTTTGCCAGCTGGGTCTGTCTTCCTTGTAACATATTTGGTGGAGCTGTGCGATCCCTGTCTTCGCCACGGAACTCCGCGGCAGGCGCTCACGCGCAGTTTTCAACATGGCCTTTTAAAACTACTTCTCTGGCCGTCAGCCTCCTGCCCTGCCTACCAACCCATCGGCCACAATAACTTTTGTGACGCTTTCCGCCGTGAAAGATCCTGGCATATTCTCGGGCCGTGAGAGTAATCACGTTGACAAATGGCGACGCCTCTACAAACATGTCAGCACCACTTACAGGTGGGATCCCGCACTTATGCTCGCAAACGTGATACTTTATCTCGACGAAACCTCTCGTGTCTGGTTCCACAACCAGGAGCTTGACATTACGAGCTTCAAAAAAAGATCCGTGAGCTTTTTGGGAACCATTTGGTCATCGTCAAGCTGCAAAGAATGAGTGTCAACTGGCGCACAAACTTGCACAGTGTCCTACATCAGTTACATTCAGGACGACCTCGCACTATGCCGCCAAGCTGACAAAAACATGTTCGAGCCTAAAAAAGTTGTGCATATTTTAAAGGGTGTCGCCGACAATGCATTTAACTTGTTGATATTCAATGATGTGTCATTTGTTGATGTAATATTTCAAGAATGTCGCCGGCTCGAACATGCTAAAAGTAAGCACATCTCCCATCAATTCCTGCACCTCTCCAATACAGCAGCTACGTCATCACGCCTCGATAAATATAGTCCATCCGACACCTCTGACAACTTGTCTCGACTCGTCAGGCGTGAACTCGAAGCAGCCGCCATTGCTACAGTGCCACCAACGTCACCTCACTCCACTACTTCGATTCCGTTGCCCCTTATTCAAGCCATTGTACGACAGAAAATCACCAGCATGGGTCTATGCTATATTTCGATGCCTTCCCGTACTAACTGCCGGCAACAATTTATGTCTGCATGCCCATCCCCATCTGGCTTTCCATTGATGTTCCACAATCCTTTCACATGGTGAACACCTGATGACAAGCCAATATGCTTTTCTTATCACTGTATTGGGCACATTCCCTGTAGTCGCAGAAGCCATTGGGGTCCTAGGGCACAACGGTTTCAGCGCTCCTTCAATGCCCGATCTGCTTATCGTCAGGAGACCAGCCCAAACCACTTTGCCCATCAGGAACCTGTGACTGACCGCCGCTACTCCCGCTCTCCATTCCCTCAACGTCACCAGTCTCCATCCCCCCAATTTTTAAAAAATCTGGTGATGAGCCTCCTATTCATAGGCGTCCGTATCGCATATCGTTGATGGAGCTTCAGATTATCCAAATTGAGGTCGACGAAATACTTGCAAGCACATCATCAAATTATCCTGCACTCCTTAGGCATCCCCTGTCGTGCTAGTCTGCAAGAAAGACTGCACATAACGTTTCTGTGTCGATTATCGCCACTTAAGCAGAATTACAAAAAAGTATGTGTACCTTCTGCCACGAATAGATGATGCTCTTGATTGCCTCTTTGGTGCCTGCTATTTCTCCTCCATAGACCTTTGTACCGGCTACTGGCAGATTGAGGTGGATGCTATGCATTGGAAAAGGGCAGCATTTAATACAGCTGATGGCCTATATCAATTCAAAGTCATGCCCTTCAGACTGTGTAATGCTCCAGCGACGTTTGAACAGATGATGGACTCGCTGCTCAGAGGCTTTGCCGTGGCTTTGAAGTGGCGATGGCATCAGCGCAGTGCTAGCCCAACGACAACGTGGCCATGAATGCGTTATGGCATACGCCAGCCGCCTCTTACCAACACCCGAATGCAATTATCTTATCATAAAGCACGAGTGTTTGGCTTCTTCTGGGTGGTTGCCAAGTTCCGGCCATACCTCTATGAACACCGATTTTCGATAGTTACAGACCAGCACGTGCTCTGCTGGTTGAATTCTCTTAAAGATCCCTCAGTGCGCCTTGGTCGCAGGGCTTCGCGCCTGCAAGAGTTTTCATACTTGGTCATGTACAAATCTAGCCACCTGCACCAGGATGCTGATTGCCTCTCCCGGTACACCGTGAACGATCCTGCTGACCACAACATAAACAAGGTGCACTCCCTCTTCTCAGTGTCCGGCTTCATTCACATTAAGGAAGAACAGAGAAAGCATCCACTCCTGCTCAACATCATCAGCCGCATAGAGTTTTCCCAAACAGATGCCTCCAACTGTGACTTTGTCTTTCAAGATGGCGTCCTATACCACCACAATTTCCGACCTGATGGACCTGGCCTTCTTATTGTCGTACCTAAGCATTTACACTGCAGCGTCCTCACTGTACTTCACAATGCGTCCACAGCAGGACACCTTGGCGTATCTCGCACGCACGCGCTCGTACGGCGCCGTTTCTGCAGGCCAGGCCTTGCTCGCTCAGTACACTGATACGTCGCAACGTGTGAACTATGTCAACGTTGCAAAACACAATCCCTGCTATACGCTGGCCATCTTCAACCAGTCGTCATACCCACACAACCATTTTACTGCGTTAGGTTAGACCTGCTTGGTCTTATTCCTGAATCAACAGTAAGTCACAAAACGATAGCCGTGGGGAGTAGTTACGCCACATGCTACACCATTGCTTGAGCTCTACCGACGAGTTACGTGACCGACGTTGCCGACTTCCTGTTACGTGACGTTATATTGACTCACGGTGTGCCAAAGCAGCTACTCACAGATCGTGGCCGTACATTTCTCTCCCAAGTGGTCGCCGACATCCTGCGTTCCTGTTTCACGCAGCACAAAGTGACCACAGCTTACCAACCACAAACCAACAGCCTCACAGAATGCTTTATTCATATTCTTACAGATATGCTTGCAATGTATGTATCACCGGACCATCGAGACTCAGATCTTGCCCTACCTTATGCGACGTTCGCGTACAACTCGTTTAGACATGACACAGCAGGTTTTTCACTTTTCTACCTATTGTATGGAAGGGAGTCAACTTTACCCTTGGACACCATCATTTCCAGCACCTTGTCCACCAGCGAGTATGCTTGTGACGCTATTGCACGAGCTGACCATGCCTATCATCTCACCCGTGCTCGTCTGATGGCGTCACAGAGCAAGCAACGACGTCGCTACAATGCTTCACATCGCGACGAACATTTCACTCCGAATACCCTTGTGTTACTGTGGTCTCCTCATCGTAGGGTGGGCCTATCTAAAGAAATTTTGTGTCATTACATGGGACCTTTCCGTGTATTGCGGCAGATATCAACTGTTACTCAAGAGATTGGCCTCATCTCTCTGTTGTCATCAGTTCAGTGCAGTGATACTGTCCACGTGTCAGGCCTGAAGATCTATAACTGTGCTCCTGAGGATGACCTATAAATCTCCGAGATGGTGCTTCCGCCACCAGGAGTCATGCTACATAACAGTGGCATAGCAATCCAGACGACGAAGAGGAGGACGACAGCAGACATAGTGTAGCAAGCTCTTCATTCGGCAGCTCGGCTCAATAAACCATTTGTAAATACATATATTTCCTCAAGTCTGCGCCTCCTGGGTCTGTCTTCCTCGTAACAATATTCAACTTAGCAAAAAGAACTTGGTGATTGAGCACCACAAGCCTAAAATTCCATATAATATTTAGTGATGTGTTGGGCCACTGCTTGTAAACACCAGCAAAAAGGCAGTTGAGTATCAGCAACAAATTAGAAATCAGAGACTCAACAAGAGACAACAGTTTATTTGCCAATGACATAAATGAAAAAGAATGAAAAAGGGGGAAAATAAGCATCAGCATTAAAGGGGTCGTGAAACAGCCGCTTTACAACGACAATGCGGCACCATCGGCAGCTACATGTGCTAACTGTGTCATCAGCCCGCGTGGACCTGCATAGACACTTTGCTTATCAAGGAACGCGGAACTCTATGGCATATCGAGCGTGCTCAAGAGGCGCTCATCGGCGTCTGCCATAAGCGATCCGCATCCCACAAGGACGCTGCTTAATATGACGCCAGAGTTCAAGTTAGCGCCGATCGCGTATGACAAAGACACTGATGAGTGTCCCAGTTGCACGTACTCGCAAGTACCGGAGAGTTCCGCGTTCCTCGATAGGCAAAACATTACATATGGTG